TAAACCCTAAACCCAAAGGAACCCTGCACTCTTGGCCAGAAGCCCAGTAAACTTACCCTAAGCCGTACCTACCTAAAAGAGCGGATCATCTGCGAGGATGTGCCCAAGTCACGCGACGAGAAGCCGCAGCCGCCGGATGCCGCCCTCCTAAAGATACTCCGAAGCTGTAGTCGGAGGACCGAAGAAAAGGTCTTAATGAAGGGGCCTTACTCGTTAGAATAAGCTTTTGGGGCCCATACTACTGCACTTCTGATAAGGTACCCCCCCAAAATAGTATTTGGGTAGTTGTCAAAATTATGGTCCCTTTTGGGGTACCCTAAATAATAGGTGCCGTAATATAATAAGGACCCCAAAAAGGACCATAATTTTGACAACCACCCATTTGTAATTATTTAGGCCCCTACATTATTCAGAAGGTCCTAGGCTGGGTTGATTCGAAGGCTCGAGATTTCCTAGGTAGTATTAGGGAGTCCCTTTTAGGGGACCCTTCTTAACCCCACTTCTGGCTCTCTGAAAAGGGACCGTATTGAGAGGGTCTATATCCCCAAGGGTCCGCCGAATCCTAACGGCCGATTCTTCCACGGCCAGTTTTGTGACAAGGGTGCATAGTTTTCTGCTTGTTGTTGAGGGGTTTTGGCCCCTTATATGTCAAAGCCCCAAGGCCGGAAGCCCTGAACAGCACTCTAAACCCTAAACACCCTCCAACCCTAAACCCTAAACCCTGAACCGACACCCTCCCTAGTCTATCAAAGCTTCCGAGGTGTGGCATCAGCAGCGAAAGCCTCGTCCACAGAGTGCCCCCTGCTCCAGGCCTGCGTCCTTTTGATTTGGGTTTAGGGTTTAGGGTTTCGGGTTGAAGGTTTAGGGTTCAGGGTCATTTCAGTCACTACCTTATCCTAAGCCTCCATGTACCTAAATAGTAAATAGTATCACTTTGGCCTTAAAGTAGTCCCCATTCGGGTACAGTTGGGGCCAAAGTATCTACTCTTTGGGTACAGGGGCCCTTAGGGTTATTCACCTGCCAAATCCTATTAAACCCTAAACCCTAACCCTTAAACCCGAAACCCCTACACCCCTAAACCCCAAACTCTAAACCCGAAACCCTGAACCCTAAACCCCGAACCCTAAACCTATTCTACGTAGGCCTTTGGGATATTTGTATTTCCCCTTCTTGCGCTTAAGAGGATCCTGAGGGGCCGACCTGGCTTTGGTTTTGTAGGGTTTAGGGTTTAGGGTTTAGGGTTTTCACAAGCCACAAGTTCTATATGGGAGTTTCCGAAAATAAGGGGTACCTCATATTTTGGGGTCCTTATAAACCGGATCCTACTATATACGGTCGGTACTACATATTAGGGTCCCCTATTTTCGGAAACCTTCATATGTTGCAAGCAAACACGGCGTCAAAGCCTTGACTGCGGTTTAAGAGAAGGTACGTTTGGAAGTTGCTCGATTGCTGTAGCAGGCCAGTCCCTCTGTCTAAAAAACGCGTAGCGGCGTCTCTGGCATGCTGTCAAAAAGCAGTGGTGAACGCCCGAAACTCATGCATTGGTATCTACAAAGCGTCTCGAAGTGGCATCTACGAACACTGGGATCAACCAATTTGCTCGAAGTGGGATCTACCGATGATGAGTGCACTTAGGGTACTTAAAGGACCATGGGACTTAGTAAGTAGGGTTATAAGTTATAAGGTAACTATACTTGTAACCCCAATTAGGGGGCTTATAATCTCATTTACTAAGTCCCATGATCCTCCAAGTACCTGTACTTGCATGGAATCACAAAACGCAAGTACACGTGGTCCCCAGTAGCCTAAACCCTAAACCCGTAAACCCTAAACCCCCAAACCCCTAAACCCTAAACCCTAAGCCCCAAACCTCTAACCCCTACACCCTAAACCCCTAAACCCTAAACCCTAAACCCTAGCTAAACCCCAAAACCCTAAGCCCTAAAACGCAAGTACGCGTGGTCCCCAAGAGCCGAACGGCCTCCATGGCAAGGTGTTCGAGCCCCAGGATCCTCCGTAGGGTGTAGGGGTTAGGGTTTAGGGTTTAGGGTCTAGGGGTTTAGGGGTTTAGGGTTTAGGGTTTAGGGTTTAGGCTTTAGGGTTAAGGATTTACTGTTTAGGGTTCAGGGTTTAGGGTTTAGGGTTGAACCAAAGCAGGCGCGTGCTGGAACGGAGCCCGTCGCAGCTTTTCCAGCAGCCGGGAAGCAGACAAGATAGCAGGCCAGGTGGTTCTGATCCTTCGTACTTTCGCTGGCTAAAGGATACGATCGGAGTATTTATAGGGATCTAATTACCCATAGGCCCCATGGTAGTTCCTGTTTGGGGTTACGTTATAGGGTTCTATATGTGAACCCCCAAAAGGAACTACTTTAGAGCTTATGGGTATAGATGGGTTCTTGACTTTAGGGCTTTAGGGTTCAGAGTTTTCCAGGCCCCAGTTGTTGTTTGTAGTGTTTAGGGTTTAGGGTTGAGGGTTTAGGGTTTAGGGTTTAGGGTTGAGGGTTTAGGACTTAGGGTTGAGGGTTTAAAGGGTTTAGGATTTAGGGTTTATGGTTTAGGCGTTGTTGTGCGGCATCACAGCCTTGACTGCAACTTCTGGCTAGAGGCAGCTGGAAGTTGCTGAATAGCTACGTTTGCTGTAGGACGTCTACTACTACTATCCCTAAACGCTAAACCCTAAACCCTAAACCCTAAACCCTAAACCCTAAACCCTACTACCACTACTCCTTCCATGCTGGAATACTCCGTGAGCCTCCGAGGCCTCCTGGTAAATGACCGCGCGGTGCAGGGTTTACGCTTTAGGGTTTTTAGGGTTTAGGCGTTTTAGGGTTTAGGGTTTAGGGTGTAGAGTGCAGGGTTTAGGGTTTAGGGCCGTTTAGGGTTTAGGGTTTAGGGTTTTGGGTGTAGGGTTTAGGGTTTGGGGTGTAGGGTTTTGAGTTTTTTTAGGGTATTGAGTTTTTGAGTTTTGGATGTAGAGTTTTGAGTTTCAGGGTTTTGGGTGTACGTAGGGTTTTGGGTGCAGGCCCACCACAGCCGACCGCGTGTTCCAACGGGGACATACGCGCTGGTTGACCTCGAAAGGACCCGGAGATGTAGGCCAGAGTGACTCATCAGGTTGATACCAAGAAGCTAGAAGAACTCGCATCTTCCTAATCAGGTTGATACCAAGAAGCTAGAAGAACTCACACCTTCCTATGCGGGTTGATACCAAGAAGCTAGAAGGACTTGCATCTTCAACTACCATACTACACAAAGGCTTTTCGGCTCGGTTGAGCCGAAGAGAGCATGACAGGCTGCCGAGGAAAGCCTTTCAATAGATGGACTATGGGAATCGGGCGGCTTTGAAGATGCTAAACAGAATTGGAGCCTACCTCATTGGCTTTCTTAGCCCCAGCTTGCTTGAACACCTACCGCACCAGCCGAGGGTTTAGGGGTTTACGGTTCAGGTGTTTAGGACCCCTTCGAAGCTTCTTCTGTAAGGTTCCCAATTCTGATTTCCTTACAAATGCCCTTAAACATGTAGGTTAGTTAGGGATTTAGGGCTTAGGTGTTTCGGTTTTGGGCCTAGGCGTTCAAAGTCTCGAGAACGTCCCAGAGGTTCCAAGTACCCAACATGATAGTTACCAAATTGCAAACCCTCACACCTCTACTCTTACGCAACAGAACCTTAAACCCTAAACCCTAATCCCTGAACCCTAAACCCTAAACCCCTAAACCTAAACCCTAAACCCTAAAAGAGCTTCGGGCAAGCCTGCCCCTCGGAAGCTTTTCCTCGAGGACCCTTTGTCGAGTCGCCTAAGTCGGCCACCTCCACCGTGTCACTCAATGAGGTTCGGGGTTCAGGATATCGGGTTTATAAGGTTTAGGGTTTAGGGGTTTATAGGGTTTAGGGGTTTAGGGTTTAGGGTTTAGGGTTCAGGGTTTAGGGTTTAGGGTTTATGGCTTTAGGGGTTTAGGGTGTAGGGTTCAGGGTTTAGTAATTTAGGGTTTAGGGTTTATTTCCCCCGGTGGGGGGTGGGGATCCGGCTCCAGGTTTCTTTGATGGTTTGAGGGGGGGGTGGGGGGGTTGGGGAATTTAGGCTCCTTTAAGGCTTTAGGGTGTTTAGTGTTAGGGCCTGTTAGGCTTCTTGGAGGCTTTCGGGTATTTAGGCTTCTTCGGTGGTTTCAGGGCTTTATTATTTTTTTGTTCAGGCTGCAGGGCTTGGTGATATTGTTGATGATGTAAATCCTGCATTACCTTAAGGACCCTAAACTATGGCATTTATGGGTAAGGCAGGATTTATATCATCAACCGCAGTGTTGCCAGTTTAGGGTTTAGGGTGTAATACTGGGGATCGTATCCGGGGCTTGATACGTTTTTTCTTGCGACTTAGACTCTAGTTTTCCCTGGCTTTATCAGGGTGCAAAGGCTTGCAGTAGGGTGTTATACATTGAGCCCAATGTACCTTGAGTGTAAGTCCGAATGTTGCATGTCTTACTCTGGCTAGGTTTGGTGACGCTGAGTGTGTATATTATGGGGTCTTAGCAGTATCTGAAGCCTTACGCAACTGTGTACTATAGGGGCCTCAGTAATTAGCTATATTATTCCCCAGGGTTCCTTACTCGAAACATAGTATAATATACCTAAACCCTATTCTAATCATTAAGGCCCCTGCATTAGGTGGATGAGCAAGCTTTCATCAGGAGGTAGTGGTGGGAAGTTGGGGAAGAGATTGAGATCTTCCAATATCTCTTAAATATGGAATATACCTTCAGTCATATTCGGAAACCTAGGGTTTAGGGTTCACAGTTTAGGGTTTGTGCAATATACTTGAAATCATATGAGGGAACGTACCACAATTTGAGGTATATTCCTGAATTGAGGGATATTGGAGGTCTCGGGGTGAGTCTTGCCGGAGTATTCGTACAAGCCAAATGTAGGGGCCTAAATAGTTACCAATACTATTTGGGGGGTTCCTTATTATGACTATAGTTTAATATAGCCCCAAGCCCTATTCTAATTGTTAAGGCTCCTTTTTTACTGGTGGCATTTGTTGCAGCCAAGAGCCCTGCAACAAGCAACACGAACAGAAACAGGGAGCGAAGAGTCCCGCCAAACCTGGGCCCTAAAGAACCTACCTTTTCAGGGTCCCTTATTATGAATTCTCTATATAAGTCCTTAAAAAGGTAGGATATTTGGGGTTAAGGAAAACCCTGAACCCTAAACCCCGGCTAAACCCTAACCCTCTAGCCCTTAGCATCACAATAGCCCACAATCCTCATATTGTCGAGTCTTTGGGCCCAAAAGCCTTAGAATATGAGTCCTTTGAGGGTTAGGGTAGATGGTCTTTAGAATTGGGGTCCAGGCTTTGGGGGCTTCAGGGATTTAGGGTTTTGGGTTAGGGTTCAGGGTTTAGGGTTTAGAGTTCAGGGTATGTAGAGACACTTAAGCAGAACCAGTGAACTAAGGTATGCACTTACAGGTTTACTGTAGTGGATCCGACATTGTTGCATAGGTTGGGGTGGGGGTTTGGAATTTGGGTCTAGGGTGTTGAGTTGCGTAAGTGGCGTGGTCTTGTAGGCCCTAAACCTTAAATCCTGAACCCTACAAACCTAAAACCCTCAAACCTACAGCCCTAAAACAAGTTGAGATCCTGATCCTGATCCGTAATCTCAGCTATGTAGAGTCAGACACGGTTTGACTGGCTTCATGTCTAGACTGTCTGTATGGTGCTCTGACTAAGCAAGGTCAACAATCTGGCAATATCAGCAGCCGCAACACGATTAAATAACATGTGTTGTGTATGACTATGCGGTTGATGATAGAAATCCTGCATTACCCCTAAAAAAGAATGTACCAAACTTCCCCTAGTTTAGGGCCCTTAAGGTAATGCAGGGTTTATATCATCAACCGTAGGTGCCCTAAACCCTAAACCCCTAAGCCCTAAACCCCTAAACCCTAAACCCTAAACCCCAGATTTATATCATCAACAGTATCAACACCACGAGAGGTTCTTATGAGTAAGACGCGAGATGGGGCCGATACCAGCTTGATGGTGCCGCCACCGTAATATAAGGGCCTTCATGGTTTAGGGTTTAGGGTTTACCTTCAGAACCCAACACCCACTTTTTTGTAGGTTCTTATTATAAGCCCAAATATGGGATTTATAGGGACACTACAAAAAAGTAGGTTTTGGGTTCTTAAGGTAGTGTTTAGGGGCCTTACCCTTGCATCAAAATAGCACAAAAGCCTCAAATAATAAGGTCTTTGGGCCCAAAAGCCTTAAATCTATGAGTCCTTGGGTAAGGGTTGATGGTTTTGGGTTTAGGGTTTAGGGTTCACGGAATTACCTACATTTGTTTGGGGGTTCCTTATTATTGCAAGTAGAGTATAGTATCCCCCTCAAAGCTGCCCAAAACCCGATGCTATGTGTTAAGGCCCCTATAGTACCCATCGATTTAGGGTTTAGGGTTTAGGGCTTTTGGGGGTTTAGGGCTTTTGGGGTTTAGGGTTTAGGGCTTTTGCTGTTCAGGGTTTAGGGTTTAGGGGTTTAGGGTTTAGGGTTTAGGGTTTAGGCCTTTTGGGGTTTAGGGTTTAGGGCTTTTGGGGTTTAGGGCTTAGGGCGTTTGGGGGTTTAGGGCTTTTGGGGTTTAGGGTTCAGCATTTAGGGTTTAGGGGACCTATAGTAACCATCGATCGCGCATACGGTTCTTTGGCTCAGAGGAATGGCCGGCATTACGCAGAGAACACCCAAACTCCGATGGACCCTACCCTTGGGTTTAGGGTTTAGGGTTTAGGGTTGAGAAGTCTAGGGTTTAGGGTTCAGGGTTGAGAAGTCAGGGTTTAGGGTTTAGGGTTTAGAGTTACCTTGGCATCAAAATAGCCCAAAAGCCTCATATAAGAAGGTCTTTGGGCTCAAAAGCCCTAAAACATGAGTCCTTGGAGGGTAAGGGTAAGCCTCAGAGCCTAGTGACCCCAATTCCTAAAGCCAGAACGTGCTGGAAGATGCCCATCGACTATTCCAAGTGGGACAAGCTGGAGGTTACTTGGTTTGCCATTGGGAGATCTCTAAACTTGTTGGCCTGTCCATTCAAGGTTTGGGGTTTAGGGTTTTAAGGTTTAGGGTTTAGGTTTGGGGTTTGGGGTTTTAAGGTTTAGGGTTTAGGTTTGGGGTTTAGGGTTTAGGGCCTTAAAATTTTTAAGAGAGGTCAGCGACGATGAGGAAGACCGACCCCGATCTCCTGCTGCCCAGGTTTCGGGGTTCAGGGTTCAGGGTTCCCAGAGACTCCAAAACCCCTACTTTATCGTTTTTCAGCTATATAGCTTAAATTATCTATATATATATATATATATATATATTAGAAATTTGGTGATATAGTTCCTCAAATAAGGAGTTTTGGGAGTCTGTGGGTTAGGGCTTGCCTTAAACTCGAACCGCTGTTAAGGACTTGTGCAAGAAAAAATATAAGTAGGATCCCAAAACAGGTAGGTCATACAGGGTTCAGGTAGGGTTTAAGATCCAGTTTTTTGGTAGGGTTTAAGGTTTAGAGTTTAGGGTGTTCAGCTCTTTGGGACTAGCGCTCGGAGTCTACCGGCTCGTCGCAGGCCGCACCCCCCGATTTCAGCGAGATGGATTTCGACGAGGAGGGCATGAAGGCGATAGAAGCTGAGCACGAGCAGCTACAGGATTTCGTCGGAGAGCATGACTGCCCAGCCAAGGACCCCCCTCCTCTCTGCAATGCCGAGCTTTAGCAGACTTTTTGGGGTTCTTGGAAGCTGATTTTATTCTGAATGCCAAACCCTAAACCCTAAACCCCTAAACCCTAAACCTTAAACCCTAACCCTAAGAGGAAGTGGTGGTGGAATGGCTTAAAGATGCCGCTGGCCCAGGGAAGCTGGATAGCAGCGAGCAGAACTTGAAGAGCGTGCTTGAAGACCTTGGCTTCTTAGTTTAATGGTCCAAGTAATATAGGGCCTGGATCCTATATAGTAGGTACCTTGGGGGTTTAGGGTAGCCTAAACCCTAGACATCCCTAAACTTCTAAACATAGCCGGAGTGTTGCTTGACGACCTCGTCTCATCAGGGTTTATATCCCTTAAGGTCTCATCAGGGTTTATATCCCTTAAGGTCCAAGTAATATAAGGCCTGGATAATTACGAATACTGTTTCGGGGCTCCTTACTAGAATTACTTAGTAGCTGAGTGAGTACACTTTACATTTATTGGGGTTATATGATCCATTATAGCACTGAAAGTGTACACTTTTTGGGGCTTCTTAGGAGCCCAATAGCTAAACTTTAAACTTTTGTTGGTTTCTTAAACCCCTACTAAAAGAAAAGTTTAAACTTTTTTGGGCCAGGGTACTGGGCTTCAAGGGCTTATGAGCTCAGCAGCTAAGGTTTGATGGAGGCCGCCGTGACTTGTTTTGACTACGACTGTCTCCGGCGATTGTGGCGTGCACCACTCGCAGGCCGCAAGGAAGCAGAGCGTATTCAGCGCGAAGTTGGCATGGAATTGGACAGGAAAGGGGGCATGGCCTGCATGCGATTGCATTACTACATGCTGAACTATGCGATGTGTGGCCAGTACTTCTTCGGGGCAATTCCACGATCCACACCAGTGATGTGCTATGTCAACCACTTGAACATTGTATGGTCTGGTATAGGTGAGTGGCTGTATTAAGCCCCTAAACCCTAACCCTAAACCCCAAAGACTCACGGGTTGAGCTGCTCCTCGTGCACCTGCACAGGGCACCTCCCTGGCCACCATCTGACGAAGCGCAGCGGAAAAATGCTTTTCCAACTTTGCACCGATCGCTCTTAGGGCTTAGGGTTCAGGGGGTTTAGGGTTTAGGGTTTAGGGCTTTGGGTTTCGCACTTCGGGTTCAGGTTTTGTCTCGTCGGAGTCACTAACGAGATAGGGTCAGATACCCCAGTGCATGATGATGATTTTCTTCCTCTTTTCGGAGTGGTTCCCGCTGGATTGCGCAGTTTCTTAAGCGTCCATGTGTTCATAGAGCGTGTGCTTTGGCGATAAAGCCAGGTCCCATAGTAGATACTATAGGGGCCAGAATAATTAGAATAGGTTCTGCGGTATAGTATACTCCCAAATCCTAAACCCCTAAACTCCTAAACCCAAAATACACCCTAAACCCCTAAACCCTAAACCCCTAAACTCCTAAACCCAAAACCCACCCTAAACCCCTAAACCCTAAACCCCTAAACTCCTAAACCCCAAACTCACCCAAAACCCCTAAACCCCTAAACTCCTAAACCCCTAAACCCTAAACCCCTAAACCCACAACCCCAAACCCAGACCATGCCGAAGAATGACCTTTCGGCGCTCGCTCCTGCCAGGTGGCAGAGGTGCGAGGTGTCATCGATCTAACACCAGGCCTCCGGTTTAGGGTTTAGGGTTTAGGGTTTAGGGTTTAGGGGCAGCTTCGGGGTTTCCCTTGAAGGGGCTACTAGGGTTTAGGGGTTTAGGGTGTTAGGGTTTAGGGTTTAGGTTTCAGGGATTTAGGGGTTCAGGGTTTAGGGCTTTAGGGCTTTTAGGGTTCAGGGTTTGGGTTTTAGGGGTTTAGGGGTTCAGGGTTGAGGGGTTTAGGGCTTTTAGGGTTCAGGGTTTGGGTTTTAGGGGTTTAGGGGTTCAGGGTTGAGGGGTTTAGGGCTTTCAGGGTTCAGGGTTTAGGGGTTAGGGGTTTAGGGTTCTGCAGGGTTTGCTTGAAAACCACCGGGTTGATTGTAAATCGACATGCCGACCCGGGCCCGACGGAGAAGGAGGTACTGTTGATGATCTAAATCCTGCATTACCACGGTTTAGAGTTTAGGGTTTAGTTAGGGTTTAGGGTTTAGGGTTTATTATGGAGTTAGCCCTCCCCCCCAAAAAAACAATTTTAGAATGGTCTTTAGGGGCCTAATGCCATACTTCATGCTGGTAGTATGTTTGGACCCTCTGGGTAAAAAAGTAACAGACCATAATTTCCATAGTGTAGGGTCCTTAAGGTAATGCAGGTTTTATATCATCAACCGTAGTTCAAAGTACTTGTTTAGGCACTGATCAGGTATCGCCGCAGTAAAATTACCCAACGGCTCCATTATGTTTCCTCTTTGCGGCTTATATGTAGGTTCCTACAAGGTAATCCCCCAAAAGGAACTACTTTGGAGCCTATGGGTAGAGAGATATTCCTTAATCAAGGGGTCTTGAAGTCTCTGGGTTGCCGAACCCTAGACCCTAAACCTGGGTCCTTGTTGGTTACATTTTTACATCTTTCTTAGAATAAACAACCCAATAAGGATTAAACATATTCATGTTAAATATAAAACCCTAAACCCTAAACCCCTGAACCCTAAACCCCTGAACCCTAAGCCCCTAAACCCCTAAGCCCTAAACCCTAAACCCCTAGACCCTAACAGGGAACCAGAAACCCTGGTCCCCCAAACCCCCTAAACCCCTAAACCCCAAACCCAGAAACCCTGATCCCCACACCCCTAAACCCTAAACCCTAACGAAGGTTATAGCGAGTCGGATGCGAAGCTCTGCATCGAGGATGAGGTCGGCTGTTGGGGGGCGGACGGGGGAGGGCAGGGAGGGAGGGTTTAGGGGTTAGGGTTTAGGGTTTAGGGTTTTAGGGCTTTAGGGTTTTAGGGTTTTAGGGTTTAGGGTTTAGGACTTAGGGTTTAGGGTGTAGGGTTTAGGGTTTAGAGTTTCGGGTTTAGGGATTAGGTTTAGGGCTTACTTGGAGGATCACGGGACTTAGTAAGTAAGGTTATAAGTCCCTTATATTGGGGTTATAAGTAATTCTATGTACAGTTACCTTAGTTATAAGTTATAACACCTACTTACTAAGTCCCATGATCCTTTAAGTAGTAGTAATTCCTAATCTTGAAACCCTACATTCTACTGTATAGGTTCTTAGGACCCTTTGGGAGTTGCAAGAGCTATAGGTTTGCGGCTTAGGGTTCAGGGTTTAGGGGTTTAGGGTTTAGGGGTTTTGGGTTTCGGGTATAGGGTTCAGGGTTTTGGGTTTAGGGTTCAGGGCTTAGGGTTTAGGGTTTAGGGTTTAGGGGTTTAGGGGTTTAGGGGTTTAGGGTTTAGGGTTGTAAGGTTCAGGAGTTAAGGTTTAGGGCTTCGTTCGGGACTTCCCTAATGCGTGCGTGAGTGAGTTTAGGGCTTGTAGGGTCTGGGGCTTAGAGTTTGGGGGGATTCCGATTTAAGTTTTAGGTTTTAGTTGTTTTGATGGTTCTTGAGTGTCTATCTGATGTCAAAGGACTTTTCTGCGAAAGTGACGTTCTGTTCTGTTAAGAAAGGCCTTCTAAGTCATATTGAGAACTTACTGGACTGTATGAGGGTTTCGCCTGGAAGGTGGTTCAGGGTGCTAGTTCCTACGAGGGCTTGAGAAGGTTTACTGGGCTTTCTCCGGGTTGATAGAGGCTTATGGCTCGATATATTATTCTGGTCACCCTAAACCCAAACCCTGAAGCCCTGAACCCTAAAACCCTAAACCCCTAAACCCTACACCATTAACCCTAAAACCCCAAACCCCTAAACCCTAAACCCGAAAACCTCAACTAGCCCCCTAAACCCCTAAACCCTAAACCCCTACACCCTAATTACAAGCAGCAGACTTCACGAAGATGCTTGGCGAAGAGGAGGAAGTTGTGCTGACCTCGTACTTCGAGTGCAAGGAGATGGGAGTTTCCGAAAATTAGGGCACCTTATTTTGGTTTTATGGTTTAGGGTTTTATGGTTTAGGGTTCAGGGTTTAGGGTTGTGCAATTTAGAGTACTACATTCGGGTCCCGTATTTTTGGAAACCCCAAGATGAATGTCAAAGATAGCGAGTCGGCCCTAAACCCTAAACCCTAAACCCTAAACCCTAAACCATAAAGAAGGGCGGCTGCGGGACTGCTACATGTCACGCCATGGCCGTAAAGCCCTCAACCCCGAAAAGCCCGAAAGCCGAGCCTCCAGCAGCCTAGGGTTTAGGGTTTAGGGTTTAGGGTTTAGGGTTTAGGGTTTAGGGTTTAGGGTTTAGGGTTTAGGGCGGTTCCTGGGAGCTTCCTATCGAAGGATTCCAGGCCATTTTTGTCCTTTAGCGTTAATTGCACAAACTCTGAGCGGACCCCGACTCTTACTCTAAAGCGCCCTATGATCCCCCTACTTACTTAGCCAATGGGGGAACTTTAAACCTTTTGAACCTTTTTTAACATCTTTTCTTTACTAGAGAGTTCGAACTTTCTTGCACCCGGTTATTGAAGAACTAGCCTAAACCCTAAACCCCCTCCAAGTCCTAAGCCCTGAACACTACTTAAAGGATCATAGGACTTAGTAAGTAGGGTTTTAATTGAGGTAACTGTACTTATACTTACTTATAATCCCAATGAAGGGACGTATACCTTACTTACTAAGTCCCATGATCCTCCAAGTAAGATCCCTAAAATGCCTGCGCTTGCCAGATGCCGAATCCAACGGCCTCGACAGCCTCGCGAATGCGGATCCGTCACACCGTCATCCAAAGGTGGGGTTTAGGGTTTGGGGTTTATAGGGTTTAGGGTTTGGGGTTTAGGGTTTAGGGGGGTTTAGGATTTAGGGTATGGGGTTTAGGGTTTGGGAGACTTGAAGATCATGTAGTTTGGGCCTTGTTTTGGGGTTTTGGGATTTTGGGTTAAACCCTAAATCCCTACACTCTACACCGTTTATTGGGTTCAGGCCCTGTGCCAGGACCCCGCAAGATACCCTCAACTGTTTGAGGAGTCCCCTGTCCTTGAAGGGCACGACTGGGATACTCGTAGTCGCACGGACCGGAGACTGCGTAGATCCACTCCATTGGGTATCACGCAAACAGTCTTCGACCGCGAGGTCTACGACTGAAGCCGAAACTATCTCCTTGGCGACCGCCATGTTTTCCGAAGTGGAAAATCTCCAAGAGTACCTTGGTGACATCCTCGGTTTTGAGATCCCCGTGCTGTATGAGCAGGATAACAACACCGTAATATCCATTCTCAAAGCGGGTTATTCTGCCAAGCTCCGTCATATGCCTAGGGCGCATCGGGTGAACGTCGCGTCGATCTGTGAGCGCCTCGCAAAGCCGCATGTTCAGATAACCCTACGGCGGAACAACGAGCACTCGAAAACTGGGGGTGTAAATAGAATCTGGTTTTGTGGTTTGTTACCCTAAGGGTCCATGTACCTGAATAGTATATACTTTGGCCTGAAAGTAGTCCCTATTTGGGTACTTTGGGGTCAAAGTATCTACTATGTGGGTACATGGACCCTTGGGGTTATTCTATCTGTAGATTTCAGACAGGATTGATTGCATAAATTGCATAAACATAATAAGGACGATTGTTGTATTTTTGCGTCTATATTAGCTTGAGGTATGTAGCTTGAAAATTGAAACCTCAACCCGAAAGATGACGCACTCGATCTCGAGGCTTTCATCAGGTCCCAAAAGGAGCCCTATATGAGCAAGTCTTTTCAGCATACCCGCACCTTGCGCCAAGTCGAGTAGTAGTATAAACCCTAAACCCTAAACCCTGAACCCCTAAAGCCTAAACCCTAAACGCCAAGTGGAGTAGTAGTTACTTTTGTGCCTTTCATTGTAAGCGTTCCATCTACACCTGGATGGCCGGAGGAAGCACCCTCAGGGTTTAGGGTTTGGGGGTTGAGGGTTTCGGGGTTGAGGACGTAAGGTTTAGGGTTTAACTCTATAGGACCTTGAAGGGAATACTACGGTTGGTGATGTAAATCCTGCATTACCCCTGGTATGAGGAGTATACCATAGTTCTCGTAGTTTTGGGGTCCTTCAGGTAGTGCAGGATTTATATCATCAGCAGTATTCTGAACTATTCAGACTCCTGCAGCCCAAATTATGTGTACGAGCCCTGACAAGACACGCCCTGTTTCTAAGGGTCCTAACATGAGGATCCTTACAATAATCCCCGTATAGGTAATGCGGTACGTTAACCAGGAGTCTACATTACCTCATTATTCGCTATACCAAGCCTCAACCTAACCCCACCTCTTCAGACCTATGTTAGGTTAACAGCTACTTTTACTTCTTTTTCGGAGCTTGATTGCATGAACGCTATACAGTAGTACTTCAATTCTCAAAAAAACATTCTTCAAACCTTCCGGGCCACGTTATGCTACTAGTGTCATTAGTCGTCTTGTCGTCTTAGTACTTTTGTTGTTGTTATTGTCAATATTTCCATGGTCCTTACTGTTATTATCATTACTTTCGATTTCGGCTTTCTTTTACGACTACTGTGATTGCTTTCATTACATTTAGTGTTTGTTGCTATCGACATCATCGTTACTGTCATCAGTTGTCATCACTATGCTTAACATGTATTGCTATTTCTAATCTTGCTAATACTGGTATTCTTAATGTGATCATTGTTCTTCTTCATATCATTGTTAGCATTTACGACTCGTACTAAATTCACACTATTGATTATATCACTATTGTTTTTCTTATCACCAAAATCGGTAATAAGTTAGTCTTACTTACTGGTCTTATCATTCTTCGCATTGTTTTGCTACCAACACCCCTTACAGAATTCTTCCCCTTAGCATCAAAATATCCCCAAAGCCTTTAATAATTGGGTCTTCGGGCCCAGAAGCCTTAAAATATGAGTCGCTTGAGACCATTCCTAAACCCTAAACCCCTAAACCCCTAAACCCCTAAGCCCCGAAACCCCTAAACCCAAAGCCCTTAAACCCCTAAACCCCTAAACCCTAAGCCCCTAAACCCCAAACCCTTAAGCCCCTAAGCCCTCTTCGCTGGGCTCCACAGACCTGGCCGCGCCCATGCGGCGCCGGAGCAGAGGAAGCCGATGAGCGGCTCGGCGCGGAACGGACCTTTGAAGGGTTTAGGGGTTCGGGGGTTTAGGGTTTAGGGGTTTAGGGTTTAGGGTTTAGGGGGGCTTATTTAAGAGGGTTCGTTTAAGAGCTCCTTTGAGGGGTTTAGAGTTTAGGGTTCCTTCCAGGGCTCCTTTGTCAGTTTGAGGGAATTAGGGTTTAGGGTTGCTTCAAGGGCTCCTTCGAAATCTGAAACTTTGAGGGGTTTAGGGCTTCGGGTTCGTTCAAGGGCTCCTTTGAAACTTTGAGGGTTTAGGTGTCCTTAGCGGTTCTTTAAGGGGGGTAAGGTTTATAAGGGTTTGAGGCGGCTTTGGGCAAGGACGTCTTTGAGTCGGCAACGGCAGTTTGGCCAAGTTTAGGGTGGTGGATTTGTAGGGTTGAAGGAATCTGCGCGCGGGGTTATGTAATCAATCAGCAAGCTGCGGCTGTGACTTAGTTATGGTGTTTAGTGGTTTCCTTTGCTGCTGCAGGTTCAAGCCGCGAGACGAGGAAGTCAACGGACTTAAACTCCACGCAGCAATGCGACAAAGGACCCTTGGAGTTGTACCGATGCCTGCCCCTCATGCATAGCCAGGCGACGCGGGAGTGCAGACTGGCGTGTATAGCGCGGGCTTGTCGAGGCTCTGTGTTTGTGCGCGGACGTTCGCAGCGAACACATCAGTATACACTAAACCCTAAACCCTAAACCCTAAACCCTAAACCCTAAACCCTAAACCCAAACACAAACACAAAATTAAGACCGGGCTCGAAGCTCCAAGCCGTCGGCAACAGGTCGGCTCACCCTTGA